GTTTGCCCCTTTGACGGGGCGATGGGGGGGCGGCTTGCGCTGTTCGCCCGCGCCTGGTCCCACGATTCGTGGGCCTTTCGGGTCGTGTCTCGCGGCCTGCGGTGGCGTTGGGTGGCCCCTCCCCGCTTTGGGGGGTCGGGGCTGGCAGGGCAGGCTTCTTCCCCTGCGCTCTGTCGAGTCGTCTTGGAGTGGGTACGCTTGGGCGTCGTCGAAACGACGTCGTCCCTCAGATGGGTTTCCCGTCTGTTTCCGGTTCCGAAACGGGACTGCGCGGACCTGCGGTTCATTCTGGACTTGTCCCGTCTGAACCCCTGGGTTCATTGCCCCTCCTTTCGGATGACTACACTGTCTCAGGTTCGGCTCCTCTTGGAGCCGGGAGCTTGGATGGTGTCCCTGGAACTCTGGGACGCTTATTGGCATGTCCCGATTCATCCGCGGTTCAGGGACTGGCTCGGTTTTGTAGTGGGGCGTCTGAGTTACCGCTTTCGTTGTCTCCCGTTCGGGTTGAACCTGGCACCTCGCGTGTTCACACGCCTTACACGGGTTGTGGTGGCTCGTTTGCGTCTCCTAGGTGTTCGAGTGTTGGCCTACCTCGACGACTGGCTGGTTTGGGCTCCCAGCCAGTCAGCTTGCTTGCTAGCCAGGGATTTGGTTCTTTCCCAGCTCGCCGGGTTCGGGTTCTTGGTGAACTGGAGGAAGTCCCATCTGGTTCCCTCTCAGGTTCGGACATGGCTGGGTCTCGTGTGGGACTCTCGAACCGCCTCCTTGTCTCTCCCTCCGGAGTCTCTCCTGCGGCTGCAGTCCCGCCTTCGTCTGTTTCTGGAGGGCCCTCGGGTCACATGGCGGTTGCTCGAGGGGCTGTGCGGGAGCCTGAACTTCGCGATGGTGGTCTACCCGCCGGGTCGGGTTTGGCTTCGACGGCTGTTCTGGTTCCTTCGGGGTTCCCCCTTCCGCCTCTCTCGCGATCGCAGAGTTCGACCCCCGGGGGACTTGCGTCGGTTGCTGCGTCACCGGTTTCCTCTTCGGGTTTTTCGGGGTTCAGTGCCTTGGCGCCTACCCGAGCCCTCGCTCGATGTGTACACGGATGCGTCGTCTCGGCTGGGGTTTTGTGACCAGTGCTCACCAGGCCGGCCAGGGGCGTTGGGATCCGTCCTTCCGTCGAGCTCACAGTACGGTGCGGGAGTTCGCGGCAGTGTGGTTTGCTCTGGGGAGGATTCGGGTGGCCCGCGGATCGACGATTCGGCTCCATTCGGACTGCTCTCCGGTGGTTCATTGCCTGAACCGCGGGGGTTCGATGCGGTCCTTGTCTCTTTGGGGTTGGTCGCTTCGGGTGACTCGTCTGCTGCGTTCTCGGGGTTTGGGTCTCCTGGCGGTTCACGTACGGGGCGTGTCCAACGTCTTGGCCGATGCCCTGTCTCGCTTCGTTCCTCTCTCCACGGAGTGGACGGTCGACGACGAGTCCTTCCTTTGGCTTTGCCAGACGTTCGGGCGCCCCGAGGTGGACCTCTTCGCGTCGGCGTGGTCGAGGCGTCTTCCCGTTTATGCGGCGCCCTTCCCCGATTGCGAGGTCGTCGGGGTCGATGCCTTTCGGCTCGACTGGACGAGGTGGGGGTTCCAGTATCTCTTTCCCCCGGTTCGGCTGTTGCTCCAGGTCCTGACTCGCTTAGAGACTTCCCGGGGGAGAGTTGTCCTTCTGGCCCCTTGGTGGCCGGCCCAGCCTTGGTTTCAGGCGCTGGTTGCTCGGTGTCCGAACCCGAGGGTTTTTCCCGCGGCTCCGCCTCTTTCAGCAGATCGGGCCGGTACGTCACGTAGCTGGTTCGATCTTCTCCTCGAGTCTTCGCATATGGTTTTTTTGACTAGAGTCTATCATCATCTCTATGGTGATCAGGTGGCCTCCTTGTTGGTGTCCCACCTGAGGGCTTCTTCTCGGCGGCAGTATGCAGTTTTCCTGGCGGTCCTTCCGTTTCTTTTTGCGTCTTCGTCGTGTTAGCTCCTTGTCTGTTCGGGTGGTCTTGTCCTTCCTCTCGTGGTTGTTTGAGGACCGTCATCTTATGCCTAACACTGTCGCTTCGTATCGTGCGGCGCTGGCGGAGCCGCTTCAGCTTGCTTTCGGTATCGATGTTACGTCTGCGCCGTTTCGCAAGCTGTCTCGTGCATTGTTTCACCTCCGGCCTGCTCATGCGTCGCCTGAGCCGTCCTGGTCTTTGGACAGAGTGCTCGCTTTCCTTTCATCTCCTCGTTTCGTTGTGGCCCCTTCGGTCCAGGATTGTTTTTCCAAGGCACTTTTCTTGTTGGCTTTGGCCTCTGGGGGTCGGGTAGGGGAGCTTCATGCTCTCCTCCGGCGCAGGGGTTTCTGCTCTTTTGGTCGTGGTGATAGTTTTGTTCGTTTGCAGCCGTCTCCTTCTTTTCTGGCGAAGAATGAGACTGCTGCATTCCGGAGGGGTCCATGGGTGGTTGATGCTTGGTTGGTCTGGCCGGGGGTGCATCATGTTTTGTGATCGGCGGTTGCAGCCAGTTGTCTCGGCTTCGAGTTGAGGGGTGAGCGACGACCGCCTCCCGGGTAAGTCCCTCTTTTCTGTCTGTGGGTAGTTAGCTCCGGGGAGCCGACGGGGCTTCCCCCAGAAAACCAGCGTTGAATGTAATGAAACGCCATTTTCTGGGCGAGTCCCGGAGGCTCCCCGGCATCCCTCCCTCCCTCCGGTCGGCGGTTTTTCGCGTTTTTGACATCCAGCCTCAAGAACTGAGGTGTGGGTAGCCGGCGCGGGGGGTCTGGGGCTCCCCCTTCCCCCTCCCGGGGAGGGGGGAGCTGCGCAGACAGCGGCGCGGCAGTGTGTGACGTCACACTAGTTTGCTTGTTTTCGGTTGGGGAGTTCTATCCACTAGTTCGGTTTTAGGTAGCAATTTTAACCAGAATAGGGGTTTGTTTTGGGGCGCTTACCTTTCTGGGTGCCTGTTCCGGTCGATGGCAGACATAGAATGCTTCCACTAACACGGGGGCTTCTATAGGCCATTGCTCCCCTTGCCTCTCTGAGGGGGCCCGGTTCTGGCCGTGGTCCCCGGTAGGCCTAAGAACTCCATACACATGACTGATGCCAAAGTCTGACATTAGCATATCAGCCTGGGATAGCTCCGGGGAGCCTCCGGGACTCGCCCAGAAAATGGCGTTTCATTACATTCAACGCTGGTTTTATTGGCAGGTTATTGATGTAGATTATAAACAATTGTGGCTAGCACCATTCCCTGTGATACCTCAATAGTTACTGTCCTTCAATCTGATAATCTTCCTCTAATTCTGATAATCTTCCTCTTATCTAATAGTACCCCCCCTCATCTTTCCAATAAAAAATCTTTTATTCATTCCAATAGCCATTCTTGTAAGCCTCGCAGGTGCTCCAGCTTCCAAAGCAATTTTGTGTGTGTCACATTGTCAAAAGCATTTTTCAAGTCGAAGAATGTTGCATCTACTCGCTTTATTAATTTCCTGTACTATAGCAGTCACACTACCATAGAAACATACAAGGTTTTGATACACATGACTTCCCTACTCAGATCCCCAAACTGTATATTGATTAGCATGTTATTACTTTCCAGGTGGTTTAGTCATGAGAATCTGATTGCCTTTTCAAGTATCTTTGCTAACACCCTGTCACAGATACTAGTCCATAGTTTAAAGCATCCTCCCTATCTCCATTTTTATATAAAAAGACCTATATTGGTCATTTTCACTGCTCACTGCCAGCTTACCCATGTCAAGAGATGCCAGGAATATAACCCACAGTGTGTAGCTCAGCTCGGCTGCACAGTTTGTTTATTATATTGTGTTAACCAGCACACCACAAGAGTAACACAGTATATAAACCCAATGATCCCCCAAGTACTGTCAAGGCTCAATAACATATTTTTCAATTTATCCAAAATTTCTTTGGATAAATTAACCTCAAGTAATATAATTTACAATTCAGTTAGCCAAATTGCTACCCAGACTCCATGTAAATACGTAACTATCCAAAATTCTTTCCAGGACACAAAACCTAACTAGAGTCAAGACTACAAAAGCAATGATCATTAGTCATTTGAACAGACTGGCTCATTGCCCAACTGCTTTAAGGCCTTATTCAATTCTCTTATCACTTGCGTAAACAAAAAACTTGAATAAAGATGTATAACATTAATACATGTAATTGTGTAACTTTGCGAATGCAGTACTTATATAAGAGGTATCTCATAGTCTGCCAAAACTGGGCCTTTCTTTTATTTCATAAACCAAAACTAGGCCTTTCATTTATTTCCTATGTATTTTTTATATACTAAAAGTATGTCTTGTATCTGCTAAAATTACTTTATCTGACATGGCCAGAATTATTTTCTAGACCTACGTTCTTGGACAAAACCTGGCTTATGTCTGTCAAATATAGGTTATCTGTCAAGATTAGGTTCCAATCTACCAAAACCAGGTTCTTGTACAGCTCTTATCTGGCAAGACCACTTTCATCTGTCAAAATCAGGCTCTTTGTTAAAATTGGGCCAAGTCGTTGATGTGGTATTTACCAGTACAGCATGTTCTGAGCTGACCATTGTGCCATGGGTATGTATGCCTCCCACACTGAGCTAAGTTTACTTACCGAGATGGGTGAGGGAGATGCTACGTAATACTTGTTAGTTTAGTTGTTATGAATACATAGTTGTGTAGCTATCATTGCATCATGTTTCTTTTCATGTTAATAGACTATAGTGTTTATATTTGTTATTTTTATGATGCTTATTTATCTATACAGTATTAATGTGCCTTGTATAAACTTCATGCTCATAATTTTAATAAATTTATAAAATTTGACCATAAACATGCATTTTCTCTTTTTACAGCATCTAGTTTATTGGATAAATATTTTATTTGTATTTATAATTAATATTAATTTTATATTAATATATATATTTATATCTGCATACTAAGCCTTTAACTATGTATATATTTATAATAATCTAATTTATTTGATTTAAAGAAGAGAAAGACATGAGCATAATGGGCCGAGTATTAGTGACCGTCATGGCAGGAGTCTCCTTAAGTGAGAGACAAAGTGAGGGTAAGAAGAAGCACTTACCATTAAAAGTGACAATACAGCAGCATGCCTGAGTCCAGGACTAGTAGTGCATGTACTCGCACCAGTACTGTGTAGCATGAGTCCATAGTGCAGTCTTATGGAGCATGCTTTTTGCATGGCATTTAAGGAAGCTGTTAACACTGTTTATTAACCTATGTTTAGACATAATTTCATAAAAAATATATATATAATTGGTTACTGAGCACAGGTTATGTGAGAAAGTATAAATGACAGAAAATATGAATATTTCACTTTTAAAATAGAGAAATTATTTGTTTCAAATTGAAAGTACAGTATATAAAGTGCAGAGATATCATCAGTGTTAATATTTTTCAAAATTCTTTCTTGCTTCCTTACTAATTACTGATCTGTACTGTATCATGCTGTTCTTCGCTTATTTTTTCACTGTCTTTAAATTGATAAACAGCATACTTAAGAAAACAGACTATACAATATTTAAAAGATAATTAAGATATTTGTAAAATATTATCATTAAGTATATACTGTATAAGATTCATAACCCATGTATGACACTGTCTTGTTACTCTTAAAATGTTGCACTTTATAAAACTATTATTTTGTTTTTGTTGCTTGTTAGGTAAGATATATTTCTTCACATTTCTACTCTAACTTTCAGTACAGAAGTGATCAATGAGTATTAACAGTCATAATGTCAGGCTCTAGGAAGAAGAAGAAATTAAAAATATGTTGACAATTCATTGTACAACAATGTTATATAGTGCTTTGGTAAGGCAATATATATCCAAAGATAAAGGCATTATTTAAGCACCATCAGAGAATGGACTAAAAATAAATTGAAAGTAAGATGAAGATATATATATATATATATATATATATATATATATATATATATATATATATATATATATATATATATATATATATATATATATATATATATATATATATATGTCGTACCTAGTAGCCAGAACGCACTTCTCAGCCTACTATGCAAGGCCCGAATTGCCTAATAAGCCAAGTTTTCATGAATTATTATATTTTCTCAAAAATTTCTCTTATGAAATGATAAAGCTACCCATTTCATTATGTATGAGGTCAATTTTTTTTATTAGAGTTAAAATTAACGTAGATATATGACCGAACCTAACCAACCCTACCTAACCCAACCTAATCTATCTTTATAGGTTAGGTTAGGTTAGGTAGCCGAAAAAGTTAGGTTAGGTTAGGTTAGGTAGGTTAGGTAGTCGAAAAACAATTAATTCGTGAAAACTTGGCTTATTAGGCAAATCGGGCCTTGCATAGTAGGCTGACAAGTACGTTTTGGCTACTAGGTACGACATATATATATATATATATATGTCGTACCTAGTAGCCAGAACGCACTTCTCAGCCTACTATGCAAGGCCCGATTTGCCTAATAAGCCAAGTTTTCATGAATTAATTGTTTTTCGACTAATAACTTTTTCTAACCTAACTTTTAAAGCTACCTAACCTAACCTAACCTATATGATAGGTTAGGTTTTTTTAGGTAGAGTTAAAATTAGGTTCGGTCATATATCTACGTTAATTTTAACTCCAATAAAAAAACCTGACTTCATACATAATGAAATGGGGTAGCTTTAAAATTTCATAAGGTTAAAAGGTTAGAGAAAAAATATTAATTCATGAAAACTTGGCTTATTAGGCAAATCGGGCCTTGCATAGTAGGCTGAGAAGTGCGTTCTGGCTACTAGGTACGACATATATATATATATATATATATATATATATATATATATATATATATATATATATATATATACACACAGTATATATATATAATAATAATCACTAAGAACTCATATTTAACCCGGGCAGAATTCACCCCCATGATGTCCAGGGTCACCCCTAAACATACACAGCCAACAGCCAGCTTGTTGGCTGGCTGGTTAGCTGGCTGGCTGACTGGTTAGCTTGTTGGCTGGTTACCTGGCTGGTTAGCTTGTTTGCTGGATGACTGGTTAGCTTGTTGGCTGGCTGACTGGCTGATTAGCTTGTTGGCTGGCTGACTGGCTGATTAGCTTGTTGGCTGGCTGACTGGCTGATTAGCTTGTTGGCTGGCTGACTGGCAGATTAGCTTGTTGGCTGGCTGACTGGCTGGTTGGCTTGTTGGCTGGTTAGCTGGCTGGCTGGCTAGCTTGTTGGCTGGCTGGCTGCTTAGCTTGTTGGCTGGCTGACTGGTTAGCTTATTGACTGGTTAGCATGTTGGCTGGCTGGCTGGTTAGCTTATTGGCTAACTGGCTGGTTAGCTTATTGGCTGGCTGGCTGATTGGCTTCTTAGCTGGATGGCTGGTTAGCTTGTTGGCTGGCTGGTTAGCTTGTTGGCTGGCTGGTTAGCTTGTTGGCTGGGTGGTTAGCTTGTTGGGTGGATAGCTGGTTAGCTGGTTGGCTATTTAGCTTGTTGGCTGGCTGGCTTGTTGGCTGACTGGCTGGCTTGTTGACTGGTTAGCTTGTTGACTGGTTAGCTTGTTGACTGGTTAGCTTGTTGACTGGTTAGCTTGTTGACTGGTTAGCTTGTTGACTGGTTAGCTTGTTGACTGGTTAGCTTGTTGACTGGTTTGCTGGCTGGCTGGTAGGTGGGCAGGATAAGTGGGTGGACAGGCAGGCTGGAAGGCAAGTGAGTTGGATGGATGGATGGCTGGCACGTGAGTGGGCGGGCAGGCAGGCAGGCACTTAGGTTGGCGAGCAGGTAAGTGGGTGTGTGGCCAGGTTCAGGTGAGCAGGTGAAGGGGTGGGTGGCAGGTAGGAAGATGGGAAAGTACTGGACTGTTAAACTCTCCTTACCCATTGCCTACCTCCATGCACCTCCAACCTACCTTTGCCCTCCCTCCAAAACCTTCTCAACCCTCACCATCACTCAGTCCTCTCCCTGCCTACTCATGCCATGCCCCTGTCCTTCTCAGATCTCTCCGAGCTCTGTAATCTGACTTCATTCAGACTGTTTTTCCTTGGTTCATTGTCTCAACTGGAGGGATTCTATTTGATCCCTGTCTCTTTGGAGCACGAATCTCCATGTAGCTCCTTATCTGATTTCTCGGGATTTGGCTCTCCATGACATCCACGTCCATTCACCTCTGTTGAACGTCATGGCTAAAGGTTTTTCTCGATTCCATCCCATCCCCATGGAGTGGACTGTCGATGCTAACTCCTTCCCTTGGCTGTGCCAGACGTGGACCTCTTTGCATTGGCTTGGTCACAGTGATGCAGGGCCATTTCCCAACTGTGAGGCTCTCACAGTAGATACCTTTCATTTGGACTGGTCAAAGTGGAGGTTTTTAATACCTCTTCACCCCGGTTATCTTGAGATGATTTCAGGGCTTAGCGTCCCTGTGGCCCAGTCCTCGACCAGGCCTCCTTTTTGTTACATCCCCAGGAAGCAGCCCGTAGTAGCTGTCTAACTCCCAGGTACCTATTTACTGCTAGGTAACAGGGGCATTAGGGTGAAAGGAACATTTTTGCCCATTTGTCTCCCCCTCCACCGGGGATCGAACCCGGAACCTCAGGACTACGAATCCGAAGCGCTGTCCACCCAGCCGGTCATGCTCTTGCTCTCGCAAGATTCAAAATTGAAGTCCTACAGGGAAGGGGAGGATAATCATTGTAGCTCCCAGGTGGCTGGCCCAGCCTTGGTTTCAGGCACTGCTTGTTCAGTGTCTGAACATGGCCATTTTCCTACAGCTCTGCCTCTTTCAGAAGATTGGTCCAGTGACATAACCTGCTGGTTCTGCCTTCTCCAATCTTCGCATCTGGAGTTTCTGATGCACGTTTTTCACCATCTCTATGGTGATCAGGTGGCTGATCTCCCACCTGTGGTCCTCCTCTCGGCTACAAAATAGTAACAGTCGACAAAATTAATAGGGAAGAATTCCCGAGACCTGGAACTTTAAGAACATGCGGTCATATATTTAAATTACATGTAACTAAAAAAAGCTGCTGAAGAAATATAAGAAAATTCACTTAAGCACAGTGGTAGATGGTTGGAACAAATTAGGTAACAAGGTGGTGGAAGCCAAAACCGTCAGTAGTTTCAAAGTATTATATGACAAAGAGTGCTGGGAAGACAGGACAACATAAGTGTAGCTCTCATCCTATAACTACACCTAAGTAATTACACAGGCTGCTTATTCCCGACAAAACAAATTACATGTACTGCTTATTACCGCATTATATTAATAGGTTATTATCTTACAATATTGCAAGTCTCATACTCCCACATAGGGATGTTATGATATGGTGCCATTCATCATTACCTGCTAATTGTATTAACTCTTAATTTCTATGCTTTAGTTCACTTTAACATACTACTGCTCATAATTATCAAAATACAGCTTACAAATATTTTAAGGTGACTGCATGACTGCACATTTGATTAATATAAGGCTATGTATGTAGAGCTCCTACACCCATTACTTATTTTTTAGTATGGGGAAGCAATGTAAATGTGCATCTCACCTGGGGTCAGATTCACAAAGCAGCTACGCAAGTATTTACGAACGTGTACATCTTTCTTCAATCTTTGACGGCTTTGGTTACATTTATTAAACAGTTTACAAGCATGAGAACTTCCCAATCTACTGTAATTGTTGTAAACAGCCTCCTGGTGCTTCGGAGCTCATTAACTGTTTAATAATTGTAAACAAAGCTGACAAAGATTGAAAAAAGACGGACAGGTTCATACGTGCTTGCCTAACTGCTTCGTGAATCTGACCCCTGGACCTTAATGTGCTTACTTATTTTATTCTTTCAATGAAAAGTATTTTTTCTCTATTTCCTTTCAAGAAATAATCCATATAGAGTAGAGTACAATATTTCCTTAAATTAATCATCTATATTTATAGATTATTAATTTCTTCCTTTTTTCCTCAGGCCTCTATTTTTTTTTATTTTGGCATGTGACTGAACCAGATATGGCATTAATAACTTCGGCTCCTTTATTTTAGTCTAATCTTAAACTAACCTGCATGCTATTCCATAGTTCGAGAAAGACGACCACAGGGAATCCTCCGTACACACATACTCAGCGGAACTAAGCTTGATTCCTGGGGCAAAGGTAGTTTAGATTTTAATGTTGTGAGTAACAGCTATACTGTACTTCATAAGCTAATCTTGTTAATTATAATCACAAGGAGACTTCTTAGTCTTATTATGATAGTAGACTCATTTAAGTTTAACTCTCTTAAGGAAGTTTGCTAAAATTGCTGACAAGTACTGTATATAGATAATCAAAACAATGGGAGAGGTTTTTATTTGATAATAACTTCTTTAGTTAATGGTTTTTAGAAAGTCTCTTACAGGATGAAATGTCATCTTGGTATTTGTCCATGTATTAATTTTAATGCTTAAATCATCCTTTATGAAAATATTCACCATGAACATTTGTCTGAAAAGGTTTACTTTACTTTATATTAGAGTATTTGCATGCTTGCTCTCTCTTAATTTTTGTTACACTTACTTCAGGAGTCTCTTTGTTATTATACACATTAACAATCATAATAAAGTAAGGACTTTATTTATATTAAATCTTACCTTATTATTGACTTAGACTTAGCTGATACAGGAATTTCAGCTTCTTAGGTAAGTAGTAATGTAGCATCAACATTCACAATACAAATGGTGAGTAGATAAAGAATTTTGGTTGGCCATAACTAACTTCACTACCAGATATCATGTTGTATTGTAGGTGAATGCATGTGCATGCTGAATATATTGGCTGTTTAAAGTAATATATATATTAAATTAATGCTTTATATATAGAAATTAGAACTTTAATGTGTAAATAATCTAAGTATTCTTAATTAAGCTTCAAAATATATAATTTATCATATAATAAATAAACCAACAAATATTTCATAAAGTCTCTACAATAATAATGAGAGGCATTAATGCTTTTCTCTGCATGTCTTTCCATCCAAATATCTCTCTTTCCTCAGTAAGGATTTTACTTTGTCTAATCAGCTTAGAGTTAATGAATTACAATACCACAGACTATTCCTTATCTGGATGCATGGGGATCATGGGTCAGCCAAACACACACAAATAATTTTTCTTGTAACGATTTTTTACAAAATGAAAGAAAATTTGTTTCCAGTGATAAATGGATTATCACTGAATTAATTATCACGTTTGAATTATCTTTTAGAGCTGATTCATTCTTCTACTGCTTTAAAACATTTTATGCACCTCACAGTGCAATGTCAATTTATGAGTGTGCAATTTGTGCAATTTATGAGGAATGTCACAAGTGGAGTACCACAAGGTTCAGTTCTTGCACCGGTAATGTTCATTGTCTACATAAACGATCTACCAGATGGAATACAGAATTACATGAACATGTTTGCTGATGATACTAAGATAATAGGGAAGGTAAGAAACCTAGATGATTGTCATGCCCTTCAAGAAGACCTGGATAAAATAAGTATATGGAGCGACACTTGACAAATGGAATTTAATGTGAATAAATGCCATGTTATGGAATGTGGAATTGGAGAACATAGACCCCACACAACCTATAAATTATGTGAGAAATCTTTAAAAAATTCTGACAATGAAAGGGATCTAGGGATGGTTCTAAATAGAAAACTGTCACCTGAGGACCACATTAAGAACATTGTGCAAGGAGCCTGTGCTACACTTTCTAACTTCAGAATTGCTTTTAAATACATGGATGGAGAAACACTAAAGAAACTGTTCACGACTTTTGTTAGACCAAAGCTGGAATATGTAGCAGTTGTATGGTGCCCATATCTTAAGAAGTACATCAACAACCTGGAAAAGGTGCAAAGACATGCCACTAAGTGGCTCCCAGAACTGAAGGACAAGAGCTACAAGCAGAGGTTAGATAGGCAAAAACTAGAAGATAGAAGAAAAAGAGGCGATATGATCACTACGTACAAAATAGTAACAGGAATCTATAAAATTGATAGGGAAGAATTCCTGAGACCTGGAACTTCAAGAACAAGAGGTCATAGATTTAAACTAACGAAACAAAGCTGCCGGACAATATAAGAAAATTCACTTTTGTAAACAGTGGTAGACGGTTGGAACATGTTAGGTGAGAAGGGGGTGGAGGCCAAAACCATCAGTAATTTCAAAGCGTTATATGACAGTGCTGGGAAGACAGGACATCACGAGCATAGCTCTTATCCTGTAACTACACTTAGCTAATTACAGAATAAGGCTTGGCCCAGTTCGTGTGCAATAGTAGTTCACTGGAATTGCTAGCTATTACCCGTCCAGTGGTTGTAATGTGGAAATGTTAGGGCACCTTTAGGAATTGAGTCTGACTTCACACTTCTGCTTCTTACTGTGGTCTGGGGGTAACAAATCTGGTTATCTGTAGCAAGTCTTGAATGATCTGGGTAGACCAACAAGTTTAGTTAGACAAGATGCAAGGTGAAAACAGAGCTGTGCTTGGTGTGAGATGGATCAGGAATGGCTTGCTACCCTAATTACTATTAGATGCACACAGATGAACAGAGTAAGGAAATGATGTCCTCTCTTCATTCCCCCCCCCCTCCCTTTTTAGTTTATTATTTAAGGTTCTGTTTCTAGCCTTCCTGTGGGGAAGCCCCTACAGCTCCCTGGAGCTATCGGGCTAATATGCAATATATTAGACCAGGGCTTTAGTCAGTGGAATTCTGCCTACCGGGGACTATGAGCCAGAACCTGCCCCCCTCCCCCCCCTCAGAGAGGTGCAGGGAGCAATGGTCCTGGAAAATTCCCCCTGTGGTTGGTGGTTTACCTTATTTGCCATTGACCAGGGTTAGGGGGGCCTGACAGCTGAGAGGACAGTGCTTCGGATTCGTAGTCCTGAGGTTCTGGGTTCGATCCCCAGTGGAGGCGGAAACAAATGGGCAGTATTTCTTTCACCCTGATGCTCCTGTTACCTAGAAGTAAATAGATACCTGGGAGTTACAGCTACTACGGGCTACTTCCTGGGAGTATGTAACTAAAAGGAGGCCTAGTCGAGGACTGGGCCGCGGGGATGCTAAGCCCCGAAATCATCTTAAGATAACCTCAAGATAGGCACTCAGAAAGGTAGGCGTAACAAAACAGACCATACAAGGTAAGAAAAATGCATTCTATTGCGAACAATTTGGTACCAAAATGAATGACATAACATGAAAATTGAGGTGATCAAAGTGAAAAAGAGTACACACACATTTGAGTGTGGGTGTTGCGAGTGTGTGGATGGGTGCTTTCTCACGGGTAACTCTTGGCCGATTTTCTTATTTGCTGTGGTTGCACTCCTACTTGTTTTACCTAATATGCATATATCCCTTTAGAGGATTTTATTGTGAACAATTTGATACCAAAATGAACAATGTAAGACAAAAATTGACATGAGAAAACTAAAAAGAGTATACACATTTTAGTGTGGTTGGGCGCTTGTGAGTAACGCTCGGGCGATTTTCGGGTTAGCTGTGGGTGGTACACCGGGCTTTTTGATGTTATATGCATATATCTTTTTGGTGAATTCTATTGCGAACAATTTGATACCAAATTGAACTATGTAACATGAAAATTGACATGAGAACACTGAAGAAAAGGGTATACTCATTTTAGCGTGGGTGTGTGCTCACAGGAAACGCCAGGCCCACCTTGCGGAGGGCTGGGACGCGCATGCTGGGCAGCTCAAAGTGTTAACTAAGTCTAATATCTGCTCTTACTTTTCTATGTTAAATTACATCACTAATTTCCCAGACCATCTGTACCTCTCACTTCATCAAATTAGAATTATAATGCAGGTTATCTGCAAACTTTAAGGTTCTAAATAAAATAATTGCTAATATTCTGTATACAGTATATTTGTGCTGTGTAAGTTTGATATTTTTTTCAGTCATATAAAGTACTGTATTTCAGATTTACAGTCTTCCCCCATGTTTTCAGGAACTCTGCAGTCATTTTGTGAAGTAAGCTTAGGCTCACAAGCTCACCGCACAAGCATAGCAGTATCTCCTCATCCAAAATGGGATTCTACCATGCAGTTCCTTGTTAAGTCATTGTCTGAGGATGTTCTCTGCATTACAGTGTATGAGAAGGGTTATTTCAAGCCTAATGGTATGTTCTCTTGCTCATTTATTTTCAGTTTTTTCTTTTTATGCTATATCACACATTGTAGATCAAAATTGCTAGAAATGAAGCCGTCTTACAAATATAAAAATCCTTGCCTAGTTATTATAGTAATAATAATAATAATAATAATAATAATAATATACACACAAATCACAATTATGTGATATATCAAATGAACAAATCCACAAGGGTTGGATTTGTGGATGAGGGTTCGAACCTGTGCACTGAGTGTTCCCAGACGCACCTTAGTCAACTAGTCCATGTCCTGGTACAGTTGACTAAGGCACGTCTGGAAACACTCATCAAAGCCCTTGTGGAATTATTCAAATAATAATAATAATAATAATAATAATAATAATAATAATAATAATTTATATAAAGTACTGTACTGTATATTTAAAATATGAAACGGTGAAGTATTCATAGAGCCACATGGTACTGTAATTTACATAAAGCCACTAATACAGAGAGCATTTTGGGCATAACTTAGTATTAGTAGGTTATTTAATTAAAAGTTTAAATGGGTAGCATTTAATATTGAACAAGAAGTATGCATATTTGAACATATTTGAATTGTTAAAGGAATTTATCAAATGAGTTACAATTAATTAGTGATATATAATGATGAAAGGCAGACTACTTAATTATAGAAATTGTAGCGACTAACAGTTCAGACATAGTATTTAATCACAAAAGCAGCAAAACACAGGTTGACATGTAGTATGAGAAAATGTGAGTGAAATTGGTTACACAACAGTAATTAGGAATTGCTTAGTTTCTCTTTTTAATCTGGTAAAGTTATTATAGTTATAGAGAAAAGTACAGTTATTAATTTAATTTAGTTCCTTCAGCAAAGAAAAAAAAATAGTACTGTGTTTTAACCCCAGAGCTAATCCATCCAGTTTCCTGCATTTCCCTGTTGAGTGCAGGGTTGGCTCAACATCAGATTTACAATGCTTGTATCATTTATTTGACCACTTTCTTTAAACCTGCATCTCGATGGGTAATATCACCAAGTTTTCTTTTGATACTGATTAATTGGGTGAGCTTTTGATTTATTATTATTTTCTGTTGGAGCCCCATCGGTTCCCTGAAGCAATCCAAACTGACATGTGCCATATTAGTTTGGTGTCATCAGTCCCTGGAGTTCTGTGTGCCTACCAGAGTCCATAGTCAGATCTTGGTCCACTCAGAGTGGTAGAGGGAGCAATGGCCATATGAGCACTCTACATTTAGAGATTGTCATGTCTGCCATCGACCGGGAATACCACCAGAAAGGTAGGCGAAACAGTACAAAACTCCAACTGGTAAAAATTGCAACCTACGTCCAAACAGAGCCAAAGACCTCCCGCAAAAAACAGAGAAACAAATCATCACGTTCGTTTGTGTCCCGCCCTTCCTTGGAAGGGGGGGAGGGGAATCTTATTCAGGCGAGCCAGCAGCCCACCATCCCAGTTCGTTGACTGATGTGCCTGGTGTCAACAAGTCTCCTCTGGCCTCGCTTTATTGATTGGCTTTTGTGTTTATGGCTTTGTGTGGTGGTGGCCAGGTGTATACCAAAAGGGGGTTGTTGTTCCGCATTGTTACTTTCTGGTACGCAGGGATACATGTGCCTAGGGCTACCTTCCCTAGGTGCCTGATAAGTACTTTCCTTGCGTTCTAGGGTTATCTTCCCTGGGACATTTGAGTTTCACTCCTATTTTAGGGCTTCGTTGCTTCGCATTGTTCTCATCCTTGGGGTACGCTGGGGGTGTTAGGCTTTCCGTCTTGACCCAGGTAGGGAGAAGGTTTTGCTGTGTGGGGCACACTGCGGCCAGTGCAGCTTGCATACATGTGGCGGCTGACAATTCTCTGTGGCGGCCAGTTTGTTTGTGTGTTGCTTTAGGGGCTTTTGTTTTGTTTTGTTTTGTTTTGTTTTAGCATATTCACTTACTTTTGGCGGAGGAGGTCTTCCTAGATTCCGATTACGCCTGCCTAGGTTGTGTTGGGAGTCCTTTGTTGCCCCAAGGTTTCACGGCAACTTCTGATTGTCAGTTTGTCTGCAAAAGACAGGGCTTACCGACTTAGTTACCCCCAGTGCCTGGGGCTTCCCGTAGAGCTAACATACTCTACAGGCCATGGAAAACCCTTTTGGGCTTGGGGGGTACCATGGAACGTGTCTTCCAAGCACCTGTCTCACCTTATGTGATGCTGAAGGTTGTTTTCTGGAGGGAAGTCCCGTCGGCTTCCCGGAATTGTCCAGGCTGATACGGATATATTAGATTTCTGGCATCAGTCAATGTGCATGGAGTTCTAGGCCTACTGGGGACCACGAGCCAGAACCTGGCCCCCTCAGAGAGGCACGAGAAGCAGTGGTCTATAGAAACCCCCATGTGGTTGGAAGAATTCTATGTCTCCCATCGACTGAGTCAAGCACCCAGAAAGGTAAGTGCCCCAAAATAAACCTCTATTCTGGTGAAAACATTACTAAAAAGAGCCAAACGAGTGGACAGAATTCCCCAAATGAAAACAATTAAACTAGCATGACGTCACCATGTTGCTGTGCCGCTGTCTGTGCAACAACACCCCCCCTCCCTAGGAAGGGGAAGGAGGAGCCCCAAACCTTCATGCCACCTACCCACTCTTCAGTTTTTGGCTGATGTGACACTGGCAATGTCATGTGCCTCTGGCTCCAGAAAATTGTTCTAGTTCTGTGCCTTGTGGTGTGGTGTTGTCTCTACATTCGGTGTGGGAACCAGGAGTAATTTCTTCAGTACTTGGGCTGCATACCTAGGGTTTCCTTCCCTAGGTGCCCTATAAGTTCTGCCCTTAGGGCTTAAGGCCACCTTCCACAAGTCGCCTTGGGATCTACCTCTGCTGCGTCTTTTGCTGCTCGGTAATTGACCACCTTTGGAGTCAGCTGGGGTTTCTGTGTTTCCCTGTTTGATTCTGGGTAGGGGTAGTTTTCGTTACTTGTAGGAGCACAGGGTACTGTGCTGCTAGCTATCACCTCACATAGCAGCCGACTCTGTTCCGCCTGGGTATGTTGTCCTCTTGCGGGGTTTTTCTTTTTCTTTTTGTTTAGCTACCTGGTGGGGGGATCTGCCACTTGGTTGGTCATACCCTACTTTTACTTGGTGGTTCTCCTCTAGGCCTCTGTGAGTGTACACATCCCAGGGGTTCAACTTTAGTAGTTTTCTTGGTAATTTTGGGTGCCGGCTAGCAGTACCCTGCCTGGGCTTCCCTTAGCAGAATACCACGACTAAGGGCCCTGGGAAACCCCACGGGAAATCTGTGGTCTAATGGATGCAACCCCCTGTGTCACCTCTCGCTTCGTGCACGTCGGAAAGTTGCTCTGTTCCCTTGTCTCAGGGTGACAATCACGGGTTGTGCCTCCGTCATGCTGCCTGTAGGGTCGGTGACATTTTTGACCCGGAGTCGTGTGAGTTTTGTTGCTTGTACATACTCCAATTCACCCAATCTACTGGTGATCTTATGCGGGTGCAGGCAGCTTTAGTGTTGCAGGCTAGGTTCTGGTTGCTGCAACATGAGAGGTTGGTTACTTCCCCCGATGCCCCGAGACTGCCCCACTTTGGCTATAGGGACCTGGACTTGGGGGTGTTAGTCGCCTCGGCTTTGGTTCTGTCCGCACCCCCCTTGTCCTTCCCCTTTTGTTGTGCATCCTGGTCCTTTCCCCTTTCTTCTGGCCCCGAAGCATCTCAGGTTTTCGGAGTCGGAGCAAGGATTAGTTGGTGTTGAGACTCGGTCAGTTTCAGGGGAGTCCCCTTTTGGAGTGGAGAAGGAGGCATTCGAGCCTGGTCCTCTAGCCGAAGCTCCTGGGTCTGACCAGTAGGCCCCCCTTCATTCCTGCTTTTTCGGAGGCTCCTGCCTTTTCTTTAGAGGCGGAGGGTTTGGAGGATGGCTCGGCCCAGGGTCCTCAGGGTGAGGTTCCCAGGGCGGGGGAGGGATTGATTTGGGGAGCCTTGGACCTTGTTAGACCCTGCTTGGGTTTATGTACCCTCGGAGTAGGGCTTGGTGTTACAAGGAGTGGGGTTTTCTTATTCTCCCTCCTAGTACGAATTGTATTTGGTCTCTAGCCCTCCCCGGGTTTGGTTCCGTGATCCCATGGGTTCGTCAGTTCTGTCTTTCCGGAAATTTTCTGCCTCCCATATACCGCCCCATGTGGTGCAGGAGGCCATATGTGACTTACTTCCTGTGCGACCCGGATTACGCCATCAAAATGGATTCAAATTCTTATGTGTATGGATCATTGTGTCTTTACTGGGTTCATTATGAGGTTCCGGAGTCTTCCTGGTTGGCAGACAGCCCTCTCTTCTCGTTGGAAGCTTGGTATGCGTTCTGTCGGTCCCGCATGTTTGAGTGACGGTAAGCTCATATGGTGTTGCAGGCTTCCCTGGGGGGGGGGGGGGGCAATTTTGAGCATCTCAATGCGTGGTTGTTCACCCCTGCCCTTCCGTGGGATGTTGGTGTGGTGCAGCTTCATGTGCAGGTTCCTTCCCTTTCGGCTGCATTAGTCACGGAGAACTTGCTCGCACGTAACCTGTTGGCTTAGACCTCGTGTTTCTTTTACCTGCTCGAGCTGTCAGTGGATTGGCTTGAGGAGGACGTGGAGGCGCTTGGGATTGTCTCTGGGTCTGGTGCGTTGCCCTCGGTGGTGCTTGCATCGTCGGCATTGTTGAAGCTGCCGATCACAAGGAATGCGGTTTCGCTGTTTTTTGCTTTCCATCTCGCATGTTGGCAGGCAGTGCTTGCTTCTTTTTTTGGAATCTGCTTGGGCCCGTGGCTCTTAGGTTGCCTTTGCCCTTTTTTCCATTGCTGTTTGCAGAGTCTGTGGTTGTACAGTATCTGCAGGCAGCTTTGTTTAGTTGACATCTTATTTCGGACTTGTTGGTTCTCCAGGGAGCTCATGGGGGGGCCTTCCCAGAGGGGTCTTGCTTGGATGGTGTCCCTGGACTCAGGGACTGGCTCGGTTTTGTGGTGAGGCATCAGGGTTACCGCTTTCATTGCCTTCCTTTCAGTTTGAATCTGGCACCTCGTGCTTTCACACGCCTTACCCAGGTTGTGGTGGCCTATCTGCTTCTTTTAGGTGTTTGGGTTCTAGCCTACCTTGATGATTAGCTTTGTGGGCTCCCAGCCGGTCCGCCTGTCTGCTCACCAGGGATTTGGTTCTTTCCCAGTTTGGGTTTGGGTTCGTGGTAAATTGGTGAAAGTCCCAGTTAGTTCCTTCTCAGATTCAAACTTGGCTGGGCCTTGTGCTGGATTTGCAGATTGATTCCGTCTCTCTCCCTTCTGCGGCATTGGTCCGGTTGCAGTCTTGCCTTCAGCTCTTTTAGGGGGGACTCAGGTTGCTCAGCGGTTGCTCAAACAGTTGTGCGGGAGCCTAGACTTTGCCATGCTGGTTTACCCGCTGGGCAAGGTTTGACTTTGGAGGCTGTTTTGGTATCTTTGAGGTAGCCCCTTTCGCCTATTTCGTGACCACTGGGTTCTCTTCCCGGTGTCTTTACATCGGTTGTTGAGTCACCGACTTCCTCTTCAGGTTTTTGGGGCAGTACAGTATATGCTTTTAAATACCATACATGGACGGTGAAATAATAAAGAAATTGTTCCTGACCTTTGTTAGACCAAAGCTGGAATATTCAGCAGTTGTATGGTGCCCATATCTTAAGAAGCACATCAACAAAAGGTGCAAAGGTGTCTTTGCACCTGGAAAAGGTGCAAAGACATAAACTAAATGGCTCCGGGAACTGAAAGACAAGAGCTATGAGGAGAGGTTTGAGGCATTAAATATGCCAAAACTAGAAGCCATATAAGCACTGCGTACAAAATAGTAACGGGAATCGAGAAAATTGATAAGGTAGAATTTCTGAAACCTGGAACATCAAGAACAAGAGGTCATAAATTTAAACTAACTAAACAAAGCTGCCAAAGAAATATAAGAAAATTCACTTTTTCAAACAGAGTGGTAGATAGTTGGAACAAGTTAAGTTACAAGGTAGTGGAGGCCAAAACCGTCAGTGCTGTAGTTTCAAAGCATTACTGTATATGACAAAGAGTACTGGGAAGACGGGACACCACAAACGTATCTCTCATCCTCTAACTACGCTTAGGTAATTACACCAACCCTTACATCCACCCTGCCTGCTTGCCCATCATCCAGCAACCTATCCACCCAGCTCATCTGCATGCCAGGCACCTAGCCCGTCTACCCTGCCTGCCTGTTTACCCACCCGTTCACTGCAATATTCACCCATGTTGGGCACCTTGGTATGCCTAGTTGCATCGAGTCGGCAGTCTTTAGAACAAGGCACTCTATATACTTGTCTGAGGAGTACTCAGGACCCTAGACCAAGATCAGGTCAGCCTGAGCCTTCACCCTCACACACTCACGATAGCTAGTTACATTGCCCCATACATATACAGTACTTTAATTTTGTGATAATAAAGAAGAAAAGGCCACTGATTTTTGTGCTACATTCCTTCCCCACTGACAAGTAAACTGCCAGCAAGGATTAACACCCGCCCTGCTCAGCCCACTCCGGTCACCCACCTACCCCACCAGCTGACAGTCCATCCATTCAGCTCACGTGCTTGCTCGCCCATTTGCCTGCCAGCCAGGAAAACTTGGACTGGTTTCAGCATAAGCCTCTAGACTTGTGAATTCAGTGAAATACCAGGTTGTATAACTTACATAAGTCATGGTTCAAGGGTAGGGTGTGCAGCTGGGAGTTCCTTGAATGCTGGTTCGAGTCACCTCATTGTTCCAATTGGTTTTCTGATTTTAATATAGTATTCTCTAGTTTATTCTAGTCTCATCAGAGCAATTGTAAACAATTCTACTTCACACATGCCTCTAGGTGGCCACCCAGGAACTATTAACCTACAGCATCAGTTTGGCCAAAGAAGGGGCAGCCAACCAATGGGGCTTATTCATCAATTCTGAATAAATGACTTGGGGAAACTATAGCCTGAATATGACGGGCAAATGAATATAACTGGTGAAAATGGTATCAATGCCTGTATGTTACTGAGATAGATTGGTTATTGGCATTCATAGAGTTTATCTGTAGTTAAGAAAGTGACCCTTCGTAACCCAAGAAGATTAATAATTAGAGAATACAAATCCTGGCAGCTAAGTTAAATATTTCATGTTTTACATCATTATCAGCAAGGCAAATCAGTATATATATTAATTTGCCTTGCCTTAATTATATTAATGAACTGGGAATTTACTGTACAAAGATCAACCATATACTAAATAAATTATAATATCATTGATAATTGTAGATGAAAAAGTATTTTTGCATTGCATATTAATATAGACGTGAACATTTTCAGAATTTCTTGGGCGAACAGAGATCAAAATCCACCAGGTTCATGAAGAATCTAAGAGTGAGCCGGGAGCACAACCGCAACTTTACAAACTCAAACTTCAGGAAGTCAAGTCTGGGGAGGTCATCTTAAAAATCTCACTTCAACTTTTTGATCGTTCTTAGTAGTAATAATCTTGTACATATAAACCTCCTGTTTTCTACTAAGCATAATTCAAGTTATAGCAGGCAACAGTACTGGTTTTCTTTGTCATGATAGTTTATTTAAGAGGTAAATAAAGAAATTTTGATTCCACCAAGTAAAGAAATTACCGGTAATTTATCTGTTATATGTTTTCATATTTTAAGGTACAGTTTTATGTTATTAATGACATATACATTGCATAGCATTACTTTTGTGCTAATGTTTATATATATATATATTATATATATATATATATATATATATATATATATATATATATATATATATATATATATATATATATATATATATATATATATATATATATATATATATATATATATATATACTGTATATATTTATATATATATGAAATATATATTCAAATCAAATATATTTTGACCATGCTACAAGTTTATTAACAGAAAAACGTGAATTATCTACAAAAAATTTAAATGAAAAGTTTAACATACCTTATATGAAATGAACTGGCACTTTGGATTATTTCAGTGAAATAATTGACTTAAATATTATATATTGTAATTTAGATTTAAATTACATAGAAAAATGTATAAATTCATGCAAGTTGGTACTGTATGGCATTTAAAATGAAAACAAATTTGAAAAGTTGAAAGTCCACTTTGGTTTTCAAAATCCTTATATCTTTACTTTGTGAACACTCTATTATCAAATACAGTATCTCTTATTTATAACATTGTATTTTACAAATTCTAGACCCTATCTTTTAAAGCTTATTATAAATTATTTTATTATGATAATTTTCAGTGGTCATAATTTATTTTGGCCATTTTATGAAAGATTTTGTTACAAAGAAAATCCATTGAGTGTTATTGAGTGAGATAGTCTGTTAGAGAATGAGTCTTTCAGAAAGAGTTTAAGCCAACCATCTACCTCTTTTTGTAAGGAAATAATTAATTTTCTACACCAAGTTTTGTTTATTGTTAATCTATGGCACTCTGTCTTTTAATATTTTTTAAATATTGGCTTATCATCAACATGGTGCAGTGATGGTAAGTGTGTCACTTAGTCAAGTTAAGCAAATTTTAGTCTGGCCAGAACCTAGATAGGTAACCTCGCGGATAGCCTCACTCACGGTGAAGGGTGGTTCAATAAGCTTAAATGGGTTGACCAGACCACACACTAGAAGGTAAAGGGACGACGACGTTTCGGTCCGTCCTGGACCATTCTCAAGTCGATTGTGACATTCTCACAATCAACTTGAGAATGGTCCAGGACGGACCGAAACGTCGTCGTCCCTTCACCTTCTAGTGTGTGGTCTGGTCAACTTACTTTAGCCACGTTATTGTGACTCATCGCCTGCTTAAATGGGTTTTTGAACCCCAAGAGTGGTATACCAGTGAGACAATATAGTATAACCAGTATATCACTTCTCTTCCTTCAGTCATGTGTTTAAATGCTATCCAGAAGTTGCTAACTTTTATTATATGAATTCATATGTAGATGATGCAGTATTATGTAAATATTTTGCTCATATATGACCAGGGATAAGAAATATGAATTATGAAGACTAAAAACATTGAAAATTGTAATCTTGAAAGACTGGAGAAAAGACAAAATACATTATATCTATATAAGTTTATATAAGGATATAATGAGGCTGATAGAGAATATCTTTATTAGACTAGCAATAACTGAGAACAAAAAGTCAGGAGTTTAAATTTCTGTATTGAAGCCACACTGTAGAAAGAACATTACAGTGTGTTTGTTCACAGACAGTGGCAGGTTGCAGGGTTACCAGATCAGAATTGCTGAAAGTAGCGAGCTGACAGTCTAAAAGCAGTGCATTTGTAATAAGAGTAGCCCAATTTTTTTATTTAGTGACTGATACAGTTTTCAAAGTAATATATTTTAATACATAGAGTATACTACACGATTTTAATGGTTTTATTAATATTATCTCTGTATGTATATATATATATACTAAAAAAATGTGATAATAGGATAACCTACCAATATTTGCTGTAAGAAGCACAATGAGTGTGGAGTCCTTCCATGTCTTCACAGTTGAAGATTATCAAGATCTTCATCTACATCCACAACCTTGTTCTTGTATATTGCAGACTCATATTTAAGCATTGACATGGGTGGTTCAAATGATGAGCAACAAGTTTTGTTTTCTTCAAGATATGCTTTGATTCTCAAGATTGATGTTAAAAGCTCAATCCCTATTCAATTTCTCAGTTTAGTTTTCACAGATGTTACTGTCAAAAATACCCGTTCAACTAGGGCATTTACTGATTGGTAAGATGTATATTTTCAATGCAAACTCAGCGAGGTCAATCAGTATGGGATCACCAGAAGCGTTCTTGACAGTTATTGTCTTGGTCCAAAATGATGATCCAGATGTTGGAATTTGTCTCTCACAAATGTTGGACTAGTCAATGGTTAACAGTAGGCACCACAGACTTTGTTTCACTAAGCTTAGAATGGTCAGCTAGTACTAATGGAAGTTCTGAAAATGGTGGCCATGTGTGGCTAAAGCATATGCTAGGTGACAGATTTTTCACCTTTTTGAAAGTTTCAGCATTACTAGGAATACAAGAAAGAAGCTTTTTTGCAAGCCTTCACTAAAACATTATGGCATCTTTCTTGAATATTTTGAAACTTTTCCTGGGTTATAAAATTGTTTTGTCTGTTAGTGGCCAGAAGTATTGAAAATTCGTAACCAAAATTCACTTTCTCCAGGGGCAGATATATGGAATTGTAGTCCAAATTAAAATGAAGCTTTCCATGATGAGGATGCACAATTAATAATAATAATAATAATAATAATAATAATAATAATAATAATAATAATCTTTATTTAGGTAAGGTACATACATAAAGAGATTTACAAAGTTTGTTGGCTTTATAGATAGAGCTAGTACATACAATGCCTAAAGCCACTATTACGCAAAGCGTTTCGGGCAGGAAAAACATTAATGACTACAGCTTAAAACTAATGGGTAAAAAGAAAAGATGTGATGAGTACATATAAAAAATAGAGGTAAAAGAGGGGGGAACATTGTTGAAAAAGCAGCACAAATACAATTACAAATTATTACAGAAAATTACATTCAAACAGCGTTGATTTGAAAAACAAAAAAACAAAAAATATACATGGGTTGACAACAGGGGGGTAAGGTGGGTTACATGGAATTTATTAGGTATAGCTTCGTTTTTAACTTAAACTGGTTGAGAGAGGTACAGTCTTTAACATGGTTGGGAAGGTCATTCCACATTCTGGGCCCCTTGATTTGTAGAGCATTTCTGGTTTGATTTAGTCGTACTCTAGGAATATCAAAACTGTATTTATTTCTGGTGTGGTGCTCATGGGTTCTGTTACAACCTTCTATGAAGCTTTTGAGATCAGGATTGGCATTATAGTTTAGCGTTTTATATATGTATAATACACATGAGAGAATGTGCAGTGACTTAATGTCTAACATATTCAGAGATTTGAGTAAGGGTACCGAGTGATGTCTGGGGCCAGAATTGGATATTGTCCTAATAGCAGCTTTGTGTTGAGTAATTAGAGGACGTAAGTGATTTTGGGTAGTAGAGCCCCAAGCACAAATACCATAGTTGAGATATGGATAGATAAGGGAGTAATAGAGAGTCACCAGGGCAGGGCGTGGTACATAATATCTGATCTTAGAAAGAATGCCCACAGTTTTTGAAACTTTTTTTGATATGTTTAGAATGTGTCCCTGGAAATTCAGCTTGTGGTCAATGAGAATGCCAAGGAATTTGCCATCTAATTTGTTACAAATTTGGGTATTGTTTATTTTGAGATTTATTTGATTAGAGGATTTATTGCCAAACAGAATATAGAAAGTTTTGTCAATGTTAAGGGTGAGTTTGTTGGCAGTTAGCCACAGATGGACTTTATTAAGCTCAGTATTTACTGTGGCATTTAGAGCAAGGGGATCAGGACTGGAGTAAATGAAGGTTGTGTCATCAGCAAATAGAATTGGTTTGAGGTGTTGGGAGGCATTTGGAAGGTCATTAATGTAGATGAGAAAGAGGAGAGGGCCAAGTATGCTGCCCTGGGGAACACCAATGTTGATGGGTAGTGTGGGAGAAATTGTATTATTCACAGAAACACATTGGAGCCTGTCAGTAAGGTAGGATTTGAGGTATTGTAGGGAGTGTCCTCTGACACCATAATGATGTAATTTAAGAAGAAGGTTTTGGTGGTTGACAGTATCGAAAGCTTTACGCAGGTCCACAAATAACCCAACAGGGAACTCATTTTGATCAAGAGCTGTATGAATCGAGTTAAGCATACTAATAAGTGCATCGTTAGTGCTTTTTTTGGGCCTGAAGCCATATTGGCAAGGGCTAAGTATATTGAGTTTGGCTAGATATGAGTAAAGCTGCTTATAGATTAGTTTTTCAAAAATTTTTGACAAGTTTGGCAGGATTGATATAGGTCTGTAGTTGTTAACATCTGTGAGATCACCACATTTGTGGACAGGCGTTACTCTCGCTTTTTTAGAATATCTGGAAAGGTTTGGAGTTCAAGTGACTTGTTGAAGAGCAAAGCAATAGCAGGGGCTAAAGATCTGGAGGCTTTTTTGTAGATTAAAGTTGGTATCTCCTCAAGGGCACCAGACTTGGTTTTAAGGGAAAGGATTATCTCATTGACGTCAGTGGAATTAATAGGCTTTAGGTACAGAGACTGTGGATAGTTACCTGTAAGATAGTCCTTAATGTCAGTACTGGATTGATTGATGAAGATTAAGCCACCCAAGAGGTGGCACGGGCATGAATAGCCTGTAAGTGGTGGCCCTTTTGAGCCATTACCAGTATCAAGAGCTGATACTGGAGATCTGTGGAGGCGAGACTGCACCCTGCGTGATGGGAGATGTCTCCCGGACCAAGTGGTGACCAGGTGATGTACTGTTGGCTGTTTGATTGATAAAGATTAAGCCACCCAAGAGGTGGCACGGGCATGAATAGCCCGGAAGTTGGCTATTCGCATATCGCTTGCTTATATTTGGTGACTACACCTCAGCTTTCTCTAACAGGATGGAAAGAGTGTTACTTGTAATTAGGGAAAGGATTTGAGTAGTCATAATTAGTGCTAATTTGTTTGTCATTAAGGTAATGAGAAATTGGAGCGAGTATAAGGTTTACTCGCTACACGTACTGATCTGACTGCCTGTACATAATAGGTGCGAAGAACTTTCAGATTGGCTCCTCCAGAGAGGAATGTTAAAGCGACCTGAG